TAATCCAGCCACCAAGCCAGGAAACATGAAATTGCTACTCAGCCCTTCATTGGTTTAGTGTTGGACTTGGTAATGTTAGGTTAATGGTTGGACTGGATGATCTTAAACGTCTTCTCCAACCTAAACGATTCTATGCTTTATAGCATAGAATACAGAACTAATAGATGTTCTTCCACCAGAACTCTCCTAAAAAATAAAAATTGACTTTTCCAAAGCTATTTAAAAATAAGAACAAAAGCTCCTCTGACTCTGCAAAGGTTATTGGCATGCAAAACCCCACCAACATCCACAATGTCAAGCATTATTTCTAGTATTCTCTTGTCAGCTTGTCTAGATCTGTCTGCTGTTTCCTGTCTTTTTCTTTGTTCATAGATACCTTCTTGGGCATGAAATGCTTTTTTGTGTGGATGTGTTAACTTCTTTGTGAGCTTCTGAAGGCACCTGTAACAAAGGGAATTGGCTCAAATATTAAGATAATAAAAGGCTGTTATTACTTCCCTTAAATAATAAATAGAATGAAGGCGATTTTCTTTCTTTTGCATCTGGTATTGGTGGATTGTTCCTACAAATCCCTGTCCAGCACTTCTGTCAGTAATTCAAGAATGATGATGAATAAAAGAGCCATGAAAGTGAAAAACATTACAACATGTAGAAGATTTAAGGCATTCAAACTACTTAGCTTAACAAGAAAAACAGTTTTATTTTGTTAAGAGAGTTTAAGGGTTGACAAGGTCATAACTATATAGGGTTAGCATTCAAAGGGTTTTGTAATCCACCAACCATACTCCAATGAAGGGTTTAGATAAAGTCACACTAGAAAATCTTAATTCAGACATATAGCTCTAGTACAAGTAGGAATTAATTCTTAGAAATCTACAAACTGTATTAAATATTAGGTCACGTTAGATGCTCAGAAGTATCGTTCTGGCTTGAAGTCTGTGAAATAATTACTCTGGACCTGTGGACAGAGGCATCAGTAAATTTAACCTCCTTATTAAACAGATAGCTGCTTGGACTGCTGATATTGCTGCTCAGAACCCCGTCCTTGTCTCTCGCAGTGTAATTGGGGAAACACAGGAAGGATGGCCAATGTACCTTCTCGAAGTAAGTGCTTTGATTTCTTTGTGCCAGACTTCTCTATTCACCTCCACAAGATTATGTCTATTAAAACACCAATGATGCTAAGATAGTAAATATACATTTTTTAGAAAATAATACATTTTGTTCACTACTACTATGATTTTTTCACCTTTTAAGATTTTTTTTAAAAAGGGGCATAATGAATTATTAGTAGTTCAGACATATAAATTTAACCACACTCCTGAGAGCTATCTGACTGATCATCTACCTTTATCTTCTCTCCACCTGTTGTTTGTAAACCCATTTCCTCTAAAAAGATCTATAACTGTCAGTCTCTCTAGCAATAGGCAACAAATTTGTTTGTATCTTCATCATATATCATTTTTTGGCATAACTCTTATGAATAAATAAGATACGATGACTTAAATAAAGGTAAAAGGATACTTGCAAGATTACTTGCCCGAAATTGCATCAGCATTTAGAATAATATATCAGTCAAGCAAACAAGATGACCTCTTAGAGACACTGCAGGAAATAAATCAACAGGGCAGAATAATCAAATAATTGGGGGGGGGGAAGCTTATCTACGTTAATAAAAATGAAATTATTAAGAGCTATTGTTTTAGCTTGAATATCATGGTCAGCTACAGCTGAGAGCACTCCATAGATTTCCATGTAATCAAGGAATGCTGTATTTGTATAAAGTTTGACTTTTTAGGTCAGCAAGCTGACTGACTTGTTCTACATACAAATTATTTTGTTCAAGACCCGGGGTTTTTGTTGGGTCTTTTTTTCCTAGATAGGAAAAAGTGGTCCAAATAAGAAGGCCATCTTTACGGATTATGGTTTCCATGTGAGAGTGGATCTCCCCTGCTTTCTGCCAGTGGTTTGTGAAAGAAGTCAGTAAGCTTAAATGATGCAAAAATATTTTACAAAATGCAACTGTGTTTAAGAAAATCTTAAGCAAGCAGCAAGAGCTGAGGCCACTGCAGATTGCCTTTTAACCTCTAAATACCTGTCCGCACATCCATTCTCTCACCTCAGATGGTTAGGGTGTAACTACTTAAACCAGATCTTAATGGTTGGACCTGTAATCTTTCATCAGCTTAAGACTACCTAAAAGCATGTGTAAGAGGTACTGACAACTACAAGGGTTACTTACACAGTCTATAAAATCCTTTTTGCACCTGTAGTCAGAGAAAGGTGAGAGACAAGCAAACAGGTCTAGTAATACTATAAACATAGCCATGTTCTTTACATAGTCATAAGGAGTAGGGAATAAGGAAATTCAAGGGCACATCAGAAGGCATCTGAATGCATGTCAGAACAGCTGTCTGGCTACAACGTCAAGTGCTGTATTCCCTGCAACCAACTTTACTCAGTAGGGCAACAGAGAGGGTGGAAACCTACCCTCAGCTAAAAGCACAGAGTGCACTAAGGAAATGTACCCAAGAGAGGAGGAAGACTACAGATGAAGCTCCCTAAGCTCCCTCCTTCCACTCAGGAAGAGGGAAATGCATATACATCCCTTTGAGCTGCCACTACAAGTTGCACAGAATGGTTTCTAAAAACATGAAGCCATCAGGAAAGAGCTGCACAGGTGAAATTAGCTTCACTTCAGGCTGGGATACTTTAGGCCTTGAATTAAACAATTTAATCTCCTTTGTCTTTTCCTTCTCCTCATCACCAATATAAAGCAGGTGGGAGTTATCAAATGCTGCACAGTCTTCTCTACAGAGAAGAGGTATATTCCCCCTCAGCAGGGGAGATCAATCAACTTAGCAGAACAACTCACTGATCAAATCTCAAATTTTGTAAGAATTCCTGCTTGAAAATTAAAAAAAACCCAAACCCAGAAGCAGCAGCTGGGATTTAAAACCCAAGTAAAGGAAAGCCAAAGTACGTGAGTGAGCCACACTGGCAGAGGCCTTGGTGGCAAGTGTAATCTCAGTCTTATCAGACAGCCATGCGGTTTTGTGTAGGGAGCAGTGGAAATTGGAAGTGACATCTCAGCGGAGTCAATGGGAATGTGATTTCATTATCTCCTAATAAGGCTGCAGACAGTATGTGCTACCATTTTTCTCTTAGCAGTTCACGTCACTACAGCTGTCATTTTCACTGTCTGGTCACTTAATTCATGGGTGTACCTGACACCAGCAGTGGCTCTGCTCAGTGGATCCAAGTGTGGATAGGCAGAAGTGCTTTAAAAGCACAGTCCTCTGAGCGTCAGCAGCAGTTCACTTGGGATTGCTCGTTTTTACTTTCATTATAAATAATCCAGCCACCAAGCCAGGAAACATGAAATTGCTACTCTACCCTTTTCGTGTTGGACTTGGTAATGTTAGGTTAATGGTTGGACTGGATGATCTTAAAGGTCTTCTCCGACCTAAACGATTCTATGATTCTATGGTAATTGCTCACTACCTGCCAACTGACGCCCAGCCAGTTCCCGAGCAGTGGTACCCACCCCAGCCAACTCCTCCCGGTTTCTATACTGAGCATGACATCATATGGTATGGAATATCCCTTTGGCCAGCTTGGGGCAACTGCCCTGACTGTGTCCACTCCCAGCTTCTCGCTGGCAGGGCACAGGAAGCTGAAAAGTCCTTGACTACTGTAAGCACTACTTAGGAATAACTAAAACATCAGTGTGTTATCAACATTATTCTCATACTAAATCCAAAACACAGCACTGTGCCAGCTACTTGGAAGAAAATTAACTCTGTCCCAGCTGAAAGCAGGACAGATGGTTACGTTTACACTTGGACAAATGTAAGGACATCCTTCTTTTGCAGGAAGAGTATTGCTGGAAAAGCCAACTGTTAGAACTTTCTCTTAGTTTTCCATGCTTCACCATTTTATTTCAGGGCCACATGTGGATAAAGACATAGTCTAAAAATGCTGGTAGCCATTGCATTGGTACAGATCCCAACAGGAATATTATTGCTGACTGGTGCAGTAAGTGTCTCCTAACAGTAGCTGCAAGCAATCATACAAAGGTGCAGTAGCCAAGATGCTTAATTATGGACTTTCTCTACCTGATGGTTGTTCCACTTCCTGCTCCAGCTTGAGCAAAGACCACCAGTACAGCATTGTGGAGTAGCTTGTATTCAATTTTTGGGGCATTTTTGGGCAAAAAACAGACTTTGGCTACTAGCATCATCAGTATGGCTACCTCTATGAACATATATATACACACACACGCATGCATATATATACACATATATACATTTACACACACACACACATATACACACACACACACTCTTCTATGAGTTCAGAATAGAAATCGAAAGAGTTTTCTTTTGGTTGGTTTCACTCAGTGGAAAGGGGTCTCTTTTGAATGGTTTCAACTTGGCTGTTTCCTGGAAGCATCCTATAAATGGGGGAGATATACAAGGAGAAGACAGTTAAGTACTGAAGCAAATCAGTATCCCAAATCACTTACATAATATAGGGCTTTACATCAATACTCATGTTCTTCCAACCATGCACACTATACAGGGCATAGTTATTTAATGCTAAGTCATGGTGCCCAGTGTTTTAACTACACAATAAAACATTCTCTCCTCTGAAATAGCATGTGTGTCAGTAGGATTGTCAAGGCTTATCTACAAAAATGGTGTAACACAACTCTCCTAACAACCAATTTTTTTCATTAAATACTCATTAAATTCACCTTTCTTCCCAGCTCTTGGGGCCTCAAAAAACCCCTGTGATTCTACTTACTGTGGCTCTGCACCTGAGTCTGAAAAGGAGACTAAGACTTTGACTGATTTTATTTGTGAACATCTTTCTACAATCAAGGTGTACTTGACGATTCACTCCTATTTCCAGCTGCAACTGTTTCCTTATTCATATACTTACAAATTACCATAGAATTACGAGGAACAGTAAGTCTCTTTGTCATTTTGACATAATGAAAAGAACAAGTAAAAATCATCACTTGCTACTTAGGTCCATTTAACTTCAAGCAGTTTCTTTAACATCTGGAAAGAATCTATACTGCCAGTTTTTGAAAATGCTTCAGTCTTTCATAGCAAGAACAAGGGAAACCATGATGGCTTCAAGATAGTTCAAGACCGGATAAACTCAAGAGCCTTATTTAATTTCCACATACACAATGAATTTGCCACAAGGTCAGGTTTGTCTTCCAGCCATGCCATACAGAAATCCACTACGCTGCGCAGCACTGCTTCGTCCTGACTCAAGAGGTTGCTGTGTATATAGCTTTAATACATCACATAGAAACATTATGCCCTGTAAGTCAAGCTAGCAGCTTGATAGATTGTAATAACTATAAAATGACTGAACTGGTATCATCAACAGCAGCCAAGGATGTCTGTCTACCACTTCCTACAGACCCTCAGTTCTCACTGAAGTAAAACGTCGGAACTCCTATTGATACAGGTTCGGGACAACAAGGCAGTTTTTGTCAAAAGTATAATTAAAACCAGTTAGATACAAACAGCTAAAAATTTTCAGTTATGAGGCCTTTCTGAACAGGCCTGGATTCAAGCACAATTTTTATTTGGAAGAGGAGAGGATGAATGTGGTGTTTAAAGGATGACGTCTCTTTTATTTATCCTAGACTAAAGCCACACCCTAACACCATTTAAGTAAGATAACAACACTCTGGAATATGCTTTTTTTTTTATCCTTAAAACAGAGAGAGGAGTTAAAACTATTAAATGTGTATAAAAGTTGTAAACATTTTATAAGGTCAAAAATCAACAATCGTGAATAATAAAATTACTTCAGTTCTCTGGCATATTAGCAATTAGAAGCTGTTGACAGGGAAAACAACATAGCAAAACAAACCAAACAAATCTTGATTCTCCCTGTTTCCTGGATGCTGCCAAAAGTCCAAGGCAACAACACTGTGTGTTGCTCTGCTGTGCAGATTTGACAGATTTATGAGTGCTCCCAAATAGATGTCATGATTCTGAAGCACAAACACAAACTGGGGCCAAAAGTGAAGTTTCTTGTTACATTTTTTACAGCTTAAAAGAGACGATGAAATTTAGATGAAGATTTTGTTTTCTTAATTTATATTCCAGAAATTTGTAATTGTAATTATTCCAGGGAACTGTATTAATTTCTTGTCGCCAGTTTTTACAAAAGCTTCACATTTCACACATTGCAGTTCAGTCTAAAGTAATAAAACAACACAAACCCCTTGAAGCTGCTTTGTTATCAAGATCACAAAGCTCCCATGTGTTAAGAATTTGCATGACAATCTGCCCAATTTTTTGAATCAAGACCAAATTTGATGAAACATAACTAAAAGTACAGCATGTTTCTCACAGTATTAAATGGAAAAAGTTTACATTGACAGCACATTGTTCAAACAATCCTTAACAGTAAGAATGAACCTATGTGCTTTTCTAGTTCTTTAAAATTTTATATAAGCAATGTTCTATTCTAATACACAGTAAAATTTAATGAATCACCCATACTAAGGTTCTACAGTTTTTATTAACAAAAACTCTTCTTGCCTGCCATAGAGGACAATTCTGCTGTTACCATTCAGCATAAAAAATAAATAGCTCAGGAATGCAGGCTATATATTTCTCTTCAACCATTTGATTTCGCTTTGTAAGTTAGTCTTTCCAATGTCACTTTTTCCTATATTTTAAATCGGGCACACTGATCCCAGAGGGAGTTCCATTATTTTCCACTACAAAGCAATCACAAATCTCACCACCATGACAAGGTGACCTTATGAGTGTTTTTCACGTCTTAATTAAGGGAAAATATTTCCTCTGTTGGTGATCCCAACAAAAAGACAGCAGGATCCCAGAGGTGTTCAACTTGTGCAGTATCTGATTTTAACAAGGGAAGACTTCTTGCCAAAAATCCTTCTTTTGGAGAATGAGATCAGAGTATCACCCAATCAACATTGCCTGTAGTTGGGATAATTAAACAGAAAGGGCCTAATTCACTCCAGTGTCAGTGAATTAAATAGAAAGACTGACTTCAACAGGCTCTGGGTCAGGTTTGAAAGTGCAGCTTTGCAGGTTACTTCAAATAACTAAAACACATCCATTTAAGCTGTGACTAAAGAAAATTTAAGATTTTCAATCAACAATTGTACTTGCTTGAAATGAGACAGCTACCAAAAGAGGTATTATTTTGTATGCCAATTGTTGTGTTTCATGTCTAAAAGTTCTGTCTAGATTTAGAATTTAGAGAAATGCTGAAGAATGAGAATCTCAGCTTTTAATAGAAATTGTTTGGGCAAATAAAAGGATTATAAACCATTTTGTAAATGAAGAAGCAAAATTTATAGTGCCATTATCTTAGATGTTATTTTTACTCTGACAGATCTAATAAATTAAAGGGAATACAGTTGCAATTTCTTATCTCTTTGAGTGAGCAAATGGACATGTGCTTAAACAAAACCTCACATCTGCTTATCATTAACAACATTTTGTTCCATTGTATTTAATTAAAGGTAGCGTAATATCATGGGGCTTATGCTGCATTCCAGTGTCTGAGATATGGAAGGGCACAAAAATTGAGCAATTTGAGATTGAAGACACTAAGTCTGCAGAAGAGAAGGATCTAGAGAACGCTTGTACCTTCCTTTTCTGCAAGCATACTGAACAGCATGTCCTTGGGGCTCAAGACCTTTTCTGTTCACGCCTCAAGAAATCACCAGAAGGCATTAAACTGTTCTGGTTTTGGTTTCTCAGGTAGAACAGGGCACTCCGAGAATCCCAGACATCCTTTATGCTCCACTGCATTGCTATAGCAAATCAGAACAACCTCAAAGTTATTGTAACTTACTTTGAGTTGGGGATTAGACCTATCCCTCAACCACCCCTGGCCCTGGGGTGTAAAACATGATGAAAGTCATGTATATCCCTTCTTTCCTACTTCTCACTCTTCTCCTTAGATGCAAGAGGATCTCTGAAGATCTCAACCCCACAGCTGACAAGGATTTTCCCAAAACTTTTCTTCCTTTATTCAGGGTTGTTGTTTTGCTCCATGCCCCCTGCCCCCCCCATCCCTCCCCCCTCCGCCCAGATGCTGCACAAAAGTTTCACTGTTATCCAAACAATACTTGAACAAGAAAAATAAAAACACCCAAGACAGGAAAATCTAGGTCAGGAATTTCTCGAAGTTACACAATATTCTTGTGATGACACCCTGAAAGAAATATGTACTCCTTTTTGGTGAATCACATTTTGCCTGCTTCATAATCCTCTCTTGACTCATTCTTTACTATACCCTGGAGTGTTCCCCTGCACACAGAATACACATTTGAATCCACCTCCTACAGAGAATAGAAGCACTAGCTTTTCACAATCAAAACGCGTGCTTGGCAAGACCAGTATCTCTCCACACCCCAACAAGATTCTTTTCAACTTTATTTTACTATTCACATTTTTGTCCTCTTGCAATAAAGAACTCTGTATTTAATTGCACTCTTCATAAACAGTTCAGCCTATATTTTTTAATCAGTTCATATTTTGGCCTCAGCTTCCTATTAGGTCATCCTACACTTTCCTCATTTTCAGCAGACAAATCTAGCTCGATCAGTCCTTGTTTGTATTTGAATTGGCTCTGAACTATGATTTGATAGCGTAGAGGAACGTGCATTGTGCCCTTCCTTCCTTTCCAGGTTCAATTCCATCTCTCAGTTAAACAACAAACTCAGTGCCAAATACATGGCTGCAGCCAGCTCATACTCGTTGTCAGATTAATGTACGTGTATTATTACAGTCTGGCAGGCTGCAGAATATTATATTAATTTACAACCCAAGATAATTTTCTAGACACGGGATTTCAGTTTGTATTACTTGGCCACATTGGGTTTTGTTTAAGATCACTTAAGTTCACCTTCCATATTGGGTTAGCCTAGCATTTCATTTCCTCTTGAGTGCTTAAAATAGGATATAGTAGAAAGTGCAGATATGCTCAGAGTCTGTGCAGCCTGCAAGAAGATTGAATTTCAAATACATTGCATGACTTTGTGAATATCAGTCTGATTATTTAACCTGATGCCTGGGAGCAAAGTCTTTTCACTCTTGACACTATTCCTGAATGTGTTTAAGATATATGAAGACCTGTGGGTAACAATTTTTGAACAGCAAAAATCCTATCATCTAAGAGGCTTGGACATACCAATGAGGAGTTGCAACCGATGCTGCTGTTGTATCTGTGCTGTTGCAAACTCCTGTGATTGTACTATTTGTAACAAGTAAATATTGTTGAAGTCTACTGGGAAGCACAACAAACAGGAAAGTGGGCAGAAAAGCAGTGTTTGGAATTGGCTTGACAGGTCCTCCACTGAGTTTGCCACAACAGATGTCCCACAACAGAACTGCTCTGTACTGACAGTCTTACAGTCGTGAAAAGGATGTTGCCAGTAGCAGCATCTTCCAGATGAAGCTCATGTATGAATCTGGCTGAGGCAAGAGTCTCCAACAGGTGTAGGGCACATTCACCTTAACTCAGTCACACTGGAAACCCTCTCACCAAGGATCAATTTCTTAAACACTCTGAGACTGCCACAGAGAAACAGGCTTGCAAAGGAAAAAGAAGCATCATACTAAAGTCCTCCACTTGGCTGGGTTCCCCGGATGCTTGGAGGAGGATGCTTAACTATGAGCAATGACAGAATAGTGAACTAAATTACACATCAATCATGGACTCTTTTGAGGGGAGTCTGTTTTTATTGGCAAAACAAGATGCCTCGGAAGTTTAGCTTCACTTGGTTAAAGCTAACTTTGCAAATACCACATTTTCAGACTTTCATGACACAGGAAGTTGAGGGTCGCTTAAGTAGCACGTGAGACCAAGGTGAAGTGAAAATACAGTTTTCAGCCTCGGGCAAATCAGTTTGCAGTCCAGTGAGGGAAGAGAGCAAGAGGTCCAGCCAATCAGTGACTTTTCACTTCTCCAGATCACTGTCAGACTGTGAGGGCAAAGGGAGTTGTCCACATGTAGCAGCTGCACAATCCACATCCCTGAAGTGTTTCTAAACAGCAGCAATTTGCTGGCAAATCTGATGATACAAGAGTAAAATGAAGGAGACGCTCCCCAAAAAATTACCTATTAACACACAGAAGATGCTTAGCCTGATAATTTATCTTGTTAGTCCAAAACTCCAGATGTGGTGAGAGAGGGCAGTTACACCTCTTTCATTAAAAGCTAATAACTGAAAAAATAGGTCTAAATGTTGTGAATTATGTAAGATAATGGCAACTGAGAACACAACTCTGCTGTCTCACTGGCCCCTGCACTCTGTACACAAGATGAAGCAACATATTAGCGATTGCTGTGTAAACAGGTGGGTGACCAGCGCAGGGAATACTACCTTCTGCTGAAATGCCCAGCTCTGTGAGTTCAGCTGCAAGTCAGAAGCTGAAAAGCCATTTCTGCTCCCAGTTACAAGGTATTAATTTGGAGTTATTTCTGGGACTTCAGGGCGCCAGTTGTTTCTCTGCTGCTATAACTCTCAGCAAAATTTTCCTTGCAAGAGAGAGATTCTTAACAGTAAAAAAAAAACCCCAAACAAACTCCAAACAAACCACAACAATTCAGTTAAGCCAGTTGTGCAAAGAGATCTAGAAAATCACTCAACAGCAAAGAGTATCCTCAAAGGTCAAAAAGATAGCGGTGTTTCCCCTTGCAGCTGTACTCCAAACAACATACAGGCTTGAAAATCCAAACCACTCTTCAAAAGCTAAATATCACTTTACCTTTTGGAAAATGTTGGGCATTATTTATATACCTCTGCATAAATCTCCACGTTATTTCCTTTTTACAGATGGTTTTGAGTAATTGTGCTATTTAAAAAAAAAAAAAGAAACAATTTTCCTCATATTTTATATTTATACTCACAAGTATTTAGTCAATTTTTATTATTCTGTATGGTTTATATTATATTATTATTAAGAGGCGACTTTAGTTCCTATAAAGTTGACATTTCTTTTTTTTACCTTTAGGTTTTGGACTATAAATCTATTAGGAAAGCAAATGGCAGAGAGTCAATTAAAGGAAAAAAATCAGATAGCAAAACTTCTGATAAAGTTTCATTTCATGAAGAAGTCATAAATGCTCAGTCATGTTTTTCACTTAGAGAGGGTAATTTAAAATAGTACCTCGATCTCCAGCCTGGAGAGCAAGTTGTTTATTTGGATTCCAGGCTCTTAACAGCTGGAAATCTCAAGTGCTCTTTCTACAAATCTCTCTTTCTGCAACTTCATGGCCAATAATAAAAAATCCCTCAGGTAAAAAGATTTCCTGACATATTTTTTCTAGTCTCTGTTCTGGTATGATTTAAAGTTCTCATTTGGCAGGTGAGTGAAAGCCCTATTCTTCCCAAAGAGCAGCTCTGCTGTTCTATTGTCCCTACCATGCAGTTTACTAAAGAGAGAGCAAATACTAGTTACCAACAGGTCCATACATCGTATCAGACTATCTGTACAAATTAATTTCCACTTTGCATATATTTGAAAAGAGGAAGAATCAGTTTACATTTAAAAATTCATCTACTATTGAGAGAAGGTTTGACTCAATATCAGCTGCTGATTAAATGTGTATATTATAAACAAAAGATGACTGAAGAAAACAAGGTATCACTAGCATATAGTAGTCTCTGACCTCTACAATTCCCTCAACATGTGTTAAAAATTATGAAAACCAGCTTGTTAAGGGATTTAAAAAACCCAACCAAACAAAAAAAACCCAAAAACCCATCACTGGAGAGAGCTCAGCTACCCCAATTGATCTGAACCCAAGACTGCAAAATGCAAAGCAACAACATTCTTCCTACAATTGCTTGTCTTTGAACAATAGAGAGGCCAGAAACTATACCCCACATTCAGGTACAGCCAATGTTATAGGCGGAAGGACAAGCTTCAAATACTCTTTGGTCTGCCTTGTTTAAATATTCTTAACGTGCTAAATGACCACAAATTCCTAGAGCAAACTCCTCTAATTCTACAATGTTCAAAATCCAACATTTGGGAATGGGGAAACACTTGCAATTCTGCAATAAAGTAGGCTGCCAGTGCTAATGCAAATGTATTTTGATGTTGTTTTGCAGAAGCTGAGAAAGCTCTCGCACTTAACTAAGATTTTCTGAACACATTGTCCAATATGCCTTTTTGAGTAATTCACAGGAACACTTGAAGCATAAGGACGAACAGAGAATATTTTACAATATATCTTCCACTGGGAAGTAAGCCAGAGTATAACCTACAGAGAAAGAAGGGGCTTGAGGAAATTCCTAGAATAGTAAGCCATTCAGCTGCAAGCTATAAAGAAAGATATGGCAACCCATTGCTTATTCTTATACTGAACATCTGCTTTCAAAAATCATTCATATTGATCATCTGTTAGTAATAGTTTTCATGTTTTATTACCAACATGCTGTATAATGAAGAACTGGAAAAGCCACAACGTTCCAAAGAAAAGTCTGTAATTTTCCTTAATGCAAACATACAAAGCTTCTCAGTACTATTGATGGGCCTGATCCAACCCTCACTGAAATCAGTGGGAGTTGAATGAGTCCCTCTGTGCACAGGAAATGAATTGAAATTAATGAGACTACATATGGTTCCAAGGTAATTTATGCCTTTTCTGCCTGTTAATATTTATAAGACCTTAATCTGCTTCCACTTGTATCATCGTTCAACTCTACTGACTAAGCTGACTCTACTCTGAATTTATAGCTGGAAAGAATAGAAAGAAGGAAAAGAAAGGCTATTGTATGTTTGCAATTTACTGTGCCACATTATTACTATTCTCTAAGATTCTCTTATCTCTAAATAAGATTCCTTATTTAGTTTTAATCTTGTACAAGTTTCTTCTAAGTATAGAAAATCCTGTTACCTATTGTCCCCTTATCTATCCAAACTATACTGGACTATAGAGCAGGCTGTACATCAACAGAGCAATACCCAGACTGGACTATACTCCATTAAAGCTTGGAGAACGAGCTCTTTACTGATAAGCTCTTTTCACAACAACAGGACAAGCTGTGCCTTGTCAGCTACTGACATCTAGTCATTCTGAGACGTGAACAACAGTTTTCAAATAAAAACTTCTCAAGCATGGCTTTTCAGTTTATTCAACAATGTATTTGCTTAGATTCACTCAGAAAGCTTCTAAGAATCTGCATTTATCATTCTTCTTTTCCTACAGAATTCCATTGCTCGTGCTGCATCCAAACAGCTGGCCAGTTTGTATAATACTGAATATACATATGGCCCAGGAGCGACAACAATCTGTAAGTACTGGCCTAAACATACTAGCCATCTATATTAAGTGCTACTAAGACTATCAAATGCAGTTTTCTAGCGATTCTTCTTCCTCTCCCTAAGTAGTATACTCAGAGGTATATATGGAATCTGTAATTTCTAAAACATAGGATGATATATTCCTTAAGGATCCCAGGGAGTGTGTGACCCCTGGAAGGTAAAGTGATACGGTAAAGTGTTTAGGAATTCATGGGCATAGCATGAATTCCTAAATCATACACAGCTTAGATCTAAACATAAAAATCTCAAACTGAGATTCCACTATCTCCAAGTCAAAGTGAAAGACGATGTGAATCTTAAAGAATGGTTTCAACCACTCTAGCAATACAGATAATTATTTCCTTTACTTTGCATTACAGTCTGAGAAACGTATTAATTACAATTCCATTCTTCTACCCTTCTTGGGAACTCAGCTGTCAGGATATGGCCTTTGCGGTGTCAAAAGCTGAGCTGAGGTTGCCAAATCTAGATTTCTAGAACTTTAATATCTCCTATATTTAAGTAAACATGGAAACTAATTTCCCTATTTCTCTTTCCTTAAATAATTTTAAAAACCTTTACAAAGCAGTTTCTCCCAATTTTTAGAATATTTATGGATCTTTTTTCTTTAAAAATGTTTTGGTGATGCTTAGCAATTCTGGAGGCTCCTTCCTTAGCAAAAGAGACTCCCTTCATTGTACCAAAATACTGGAAAGGGAGGGTACCGTTTGTCCAGAAGAAAAAGATGGAGCTGATATCCCAAATCTGCAGTTCTTTCAGAGCTGTGTGAACCTCAAAAAGCTGCCCAGTGAGAGGGTATTTGCTTCTGATACCAAATCTTTCTGAACAACCCCGTGCAAGCATGCCATTCTCCTGTTCCCTAGACATTCCTCTCATGGTCTCCCCACAGTATTGACAAGAAGGGAGCAGTTACGCTTGTTTACATTTGCTTGCATGCATCAGCTGGAACAAAGCTCACAAATGGCCTAAAATCACAGAAGCTTTTCCATGAACAGGAGAAATGAATCAATTCACTGAATATTCCTTTTTATCTGTCCTTTCTGCATTTCTGGCTACGTGACTTGACTCCAAAGTATATCACATTTCAATGCGTAGCCACGCTTTTCCAGTTAAGCTTTATTTTATTTCTTTATCAACAGATCCTGCTGCAGGGGGCTCTGACGACTGGGCTTACGATCAAGGCATCAAGTACTCTTTCACTTTTGAGCTCCGAGACACTGGTAGATATGGTTTTGTTCTCCCTGAACCTCAGATAAAGCCAACCTGTGAGGAGACTCTAAGTGCTGTTAAATATATTGCCAATTATGTCCTTGAGCACTTGTATTAGAATGGAGTTCTAAAAACTATTAAAGAAGGTTTTATTCAAAGATGCCTTCTTTTTTATTCTTCCCTAACAATAGGTTTCTATTTCTCTGTACTTAATGTTCTTAGTCATATCCTTAGTCCCTCATAGGTCAATAAAACTACAAGTTTGTCAAGAGAAATTACATCTTTTATTAAGGCAACTGATATAGTCAGGGGGGTCTAAAAAGAAAGAGCACAAGAAGCTTAATCAACTTAAGGTAAAGGTTGCCTTAATGATTAAAATTATCTTTACACAGAGCAGACAGGGAGAGCATTAGGACTTACACAGCCTGAATGCTAAACAGAATGAGAACAGATAGGTGATTCATATAAACGCACTTTCATCCAACAATTCATTACCTTAATGGCAATGGTAGCAAGGAAAGATTCATATTGCATACTTTTAAAATTATGTTAGCTGTGGTATGCTTTTGTGAGTTTTCTCAAAACCCACCCTGGATCCGCCCCATCTCTGAAAACTAGTTTGGATCTGAGGTCACTGCTAGTCTGATCTGAACTTGGTGCTGAAGCTTACAATTACTATTAAAGACCGAGACTTGGTACAAATAATGCTATAAACTACCCTGCATTTAAGGCTCTCACGCTCACTACAGTAGCATTTCTCAAAATATTCTCAGAGTCCTGGTACTTCCTGGGGCCCCACATGTTCCTACTGTCATGAGCGGAAGAATCGTAAACAGCCATAAAGAATAAGTCTGGTGATAAATGATTAACTGCTTCTTTCATGAGAAGCTGTAAAGAATTATCCCCTCCCCATCAATTTTCTGTACAGGTAACATGGGTCTGATTGGATCAGAGTGAGAGTGATAAATAGTCACTCTGGGCAGCTTTCTCATGCAGCTGCAGAAAATGTGTTTGGCATTTATTAATGCTGTTTAAAGCTTGGCTAATATGGGACACACTCTGCAGAAAGATGGGGAAAAAACCTTATGTCAACAAAGAACCTGGCTGATCTCCCTGCCACTGCTGGAAGCTCTGAACAGAGACTTCCCCTGTCTGTTGATGCTCCTGAAACTAGCACTATTTCGGGCAGGTCCCTAGATGATGAACTCAAAACAGCCCATGAAATGCATCTTACAGAGAAAATGGTTTGCCCAAGAAAATCACCCAATTCTGACCTGTCAGAAATTAAGTGTTCTTTTCTGCCTCTTCTCTGTGGAAGGAAACAGAAAGACAAGGTCCAATTTAAAATGACGCTTTCATTTACATGTACAAGAAAAAGAAAGGAACACATCCATTAGCCCACTCCAATTAGCCCAGCAGCACTCAGATTAAACTAGTCCTCACACACAACTGATCCATCTGGTTTTGATCACTGGTGAAACCGAACCCATGTGTGAAAGCAGCACGTAGCAGTAAAAAGACATGACATTCTGTTTTGCAACAGAAGTGGCGGGAAGGATAATCAACATTACTAAAAATAGCACAGGATGCAAGCAGAACATACCGGCCAGAGCCAAAGATGTTACAAAGGGCAGAAATATTAATTACTCGGAATATAAAATATTTTGGTTAGTTTTAACTAAGTATTAACAACCACCCAGGGACTATCCTAACTAAAGGTGTATTATTTGGGAAAATATCACAGGCCTTACACTGACTGCAAGGTGAATTGTTGACACTCGGCACCATTCATTACTACGAAGGCTCTTTGTAGGACTGCAGGCAACCAAACACAGAACCACAAATACAGTTGAGGGGTAGGTCACGGCACCCAGCAGCTCCAATAGTGTTAGGGTTACCCCAGTTAACTTAAACTCTGATGCCGGGCAGAATACGGCACACATTTGGTAGCTCTGACATTCACAAAGTCAAATCACAGCAAGGCAGTGATATGCAGCTTTTCTGGGCATTCTCCACAGAAGGCACTACTAGCACCTCTAGTCAAATTACACAGAGGCAGAAAAGAGCAATTAAATGATATGATATATCATCTATGCAGCTTGGAACATAAAAAAATACAGGGAGAAATTCAACTGGGAAAGGACATTCTGCTAGCAGGTAAGTTGTTAGGACAAAGACACTGGAAGAAAACATGGTGAGGAAGCAAAGGTTCAGCAACAAGTCACGATGCTTCAAATTTCATCATTGCTTTCAAAAAACATAGAAAATCCACATGCAAAACTGGTTGATGATATATTTTCAAAGACACCATTGTAGTTATTTGGAAGCAATTCCTCAGTCATGAAATAGTTCTTACACAGAACTGGGAGAGACACAGGAAAAGAACTAGAAACATATTATATGGATGATGGAGGTACATTTTGACATTTGCAAAAGGTGGACTTTTTCAATAACCTTAAAGAAAAATTTCCAGTGTTCTCCAAACTGATTCTTTTGCTTGCTTTCTAAAAGCAGACAAATCTGTAAAGGAACAGTAAATATCTTACCAATGTTAAAACATAAATAGAACCCACCTCACAAACAATCTGCGGGTTTGATTTTTCTTTAATTGCATAGTTTAAGCTGAGTCTTTGCTGTGAACACTAGAAGCCCACACTGCAATTTTGTAGCATATAGGAGTATTTTTAACGATAATCATGTTTAGGAAAAAAAAAAGCCATGAAAAAAACAGGGGAGTAACTCTGCAGCCATGACTTACCTGGGAATTTTGTCATGAATGGAAGGCTCTATCAAAAAAACGCCGGCAATGCGCACTCACAGCACGGAAGACCGGCGCTGTCCTGAGCTGCGTTATGCAGAGCGGTGCCATCGGGTCAAGGGAGGGGATCCTTCCCCTCCACTCAGCCCTGGTGAGGCCAAACCTGGAGTGCTGGGTCCAGTGCTGGGCTTCCCAGTACAAGAGACAGGGACACACTGGAGCGGGTTCAGTGAAGGGCCATAAAGACGATTGAGGGACTGGAGCGTCTGTCATACAAGGAGAGGCTGAGAGGGCTGGGACTGTTCACCCTGGAGAAGTGAAGGCTCAGGGGGATCTTATCTATGTGTATAAACACCTGATGTGAGGCTGTAAAGAAGACAGAGCCAGGCTGTTCTCAGTAGTGCTCAGCAACAGGACAAGAGGTGATGAGCACAAATCAAAGCACATGAAACTCCATTTGAACACAAGAAAAGACTTTTTTATCGTGCAGGTGCCCAAACACTTGAACAGGTTGCCCAGAGATGTTGTGGAGTCTCCATCCTTGGAGAAGTTCAAAACTTGACTGGACACGGCCCTGGGCAACCTGCTTTAGGTGACCCTGCTTTGAGCAGGGGGTTGAACTGGATGGTCTCGAGTGGTCCCATCCAACCTCAACTGTTCTGTGATCCTCTAAAATTAATCTCTGCCTGATGCAGGTCAGCCAAGGACTGAGATGAACAATTCCAGCTTTTCCTATTTGATTTATACTGCTCCTTTAATTAGATAAATAGAAAAGGAGCATTCTGTTTTCCTGGTTAAGAATCACATCAAAAAGCTGCCATCTTTCTCATATTAAGCTATTGTTTAGCTAAATACATTCAAACAGTTAATTCATTTCAGTGCTCCAAAACTCGAAAGGGATTAAGAACTGGTGAAGTATTTTAAAGACAATGTACTGTCCACGTGCCAGGCCTCACAGGAATGATATAGGAGATACTAGACCACGCACAGACGAAATGTCCCTTCAGTACAGATCACAGCCGCAAAGGCCCGACAAAGGCAGCACTATACAAATTCTTGATTCCTTAACATATAAAGCAGGTAACTCACACACGAAAATGAATGAAGTACAGTAAGTCCTGACAGTTGCGTAAGAGTTAAACACGTGCTTCTGGGGCAGATATTTCCAAGTTTGTTCAAAGTTCTCAAGCAGCTGCTGACACACAGTGGTAATTCAGAGAAAGAAACTTTTGTTCTTAATGATCCAGACTCAACTGCCTCAAAAACTGTGCTAGAAATTAAAGCTATGCTTACAATGCAGCCTGTTCTGAACTCTGCTTTGCTGACATATGGCCTCAGCATGCTTCCTGTCACTGAATTTTTCCAAGGACAGATGCGGGCTGTGCATTGAAGCAGGTTGCCTCTGTGCTCCCCACTGCACTCAGAACAGCTGCATTACAGCTGCATACAGTCTTTCACCACAAGAGGAGAGGAAACAGCCGAATGCTGACTTCGAGAATGGGACTGCGTCCCTGTCGTTTACCGGGAGGAAGCCAGGCTACTTGTGGTAAACTTTGCAACGACAGAAAACGGGGAATTTGCTATAAATAAATGAATATGTACAGCTTAGCCAAGAAATAGGGAAATATTGCAAAACATCTAAAACTCTTTCTTCAAATCTTTTTAAACAAAGCACCCCAGTTTCTTGGCAAACACTGAAGTGTTTTCTTTCTGCATTTAACAGAAGACCTAAGATGCTTAACTCTGGAGCTCTTCAAGGAAAGTATGAATCACATTGCTTTAATATAAAATCAACTCCCAATTTCCTGGCCTCATGGGGAAAAAATCAAATATTCATGTTTCTCTAATACATTGATACATTATGCCATAAGAACCAGTATAGAGACTGTAATGAAGAAAAAAGGAAGACAGTTCAAGAGTAATGGCTGTCATCCCTGTGCTGCTGCAGACATGAGGGAGTGAGGCCACGGAGTACAGCTCAGTGTCACAACGATCAACTAGTTCATGTCCAGAAGTGATACAGCTCAGAGTGTCTCTGTTCCTACCAGAGTTAGTCCGTAATCTAATCAACCTGCTACAAAAATCAAAAGATGCTAGCAAATTTTAAAAATTAGAAACAGAACTCAAAAGACAAATATGCTGTGACGCAGCATTGACATCACTGTTGACATGTATGTTGCATCATCGTCACTCATCAGCATGGTCCCTTTTCCACCATTGCAAATGTGCAAGATTCTCAGATTATGAAACTGTAAGTACAGTAGTAGATGCAAAAAGCCTGCTTTTCACTGATATTTTCATGTCCCTGTTCACAGGATGTGCATGCATAAAGATAATAACCTCACATATATAAAGTGTTA